TTATTGGTAAGTAGAAAAGTCAGGTTAAAATGTGTCACAATGTAGTACAGTGTACTACCGGTAGTATGGGTAAATCCCTATCCATTAATTTACTTGATATTTTCTGATATTACGGTATTATTCACTAGATCTTTGAGAGTAAACGAATGCTCTACGTTATTTTTGTTATTTTTTCTAATTCTAATCCTATTTTCATAAATCAAGATTGTTTTGGAATTTAGGTTGACTTAAGGTTTATTCGCAACGTAACATATCAGGCATTTATATACAAATAGATTTGGGTTAGATGAATTATAGGACTTATTGGTGTTTCAAGATCTCATATGCGTTGTCTATTATAAAAATAAATAAAAAAATTATTTTATTATTACTTCAATCAATTGCACATATATGTTGTAAGTGGGAATAGAACCATAATAAAGTTCAGAATCCACTTAGACGAACAGAATAATTATACTAAAAATCCCAACCCTAACCTTAAAAATTCTGAATCAACTTAAATTTTGTCAAATTTAGAATCAACTTGTATTGCTTCAAAATTGCACCAATGTGCTGCATTTGGAATTTTGTTTTAACCTAAGTAGATTCGCAATCTACAAACAATTCTATTCCAGCGTACAATATCTACACAATCATCCGAATGCTATATATTACTTTCATATCCCTATTTAATAGTATTAAACCTGTAAATTAAACTTTTAACAATAAAATAATATTCTATAATGCTAGGTATAAATACCATCTCTTGCTTTTCTTAATAGATGAGCTTACATTACACATTTTATATACCATAGCTTCATTCATACATCAGCCCATTAGTTCATATACTTACCTGTATATTCTTATATTAAGATCAGTATTACCTCAATGTCTCAAGGGATCCAAGTTCGTTTTTGTTATTTAAATTAATATCTATATATTTAAATACACGTAAGTTAAACACCAAAAAAATTACTAACTAGGATCCGAAGTATGATCCGAGGTATGATTCGAGATCACAATTAACCAATAAAACGAACTTCTTCAATGCTATTCTTTCCTTCGAACTTTAAATAGTTTCATGCTCCAAAAATATCCGTTTTGTCGGACTGAACACACACACAGTTACACAGACTATGCCTCTACCGTAAAGTCCTTCGGACAATAAGCGATGTGAATGTGATAATTCTTGAACAATAAAAATAAATCAAAAATTTATTGTCATGCTTCATCAGGTATAAGTAATAAATTTTTATTTTCCATAACAGAGAAATTCGTTAACATGTTAGGATAAATTCCGCATACAAATATTTATTCAAGTTTTTTATCGAATTCCTTAAATTGGCTCTCGAGTTTTCATTGGCTTTTCTTTTCCTTTCCTCATTTTGCTTTTTAAGTTGTTCTTGTTTCTCTTCCAAGTTTCGTGCATATTCAAAAATTTTATCAACGATCTCATAGTAAAAACACACACAGATACGTTCCTTAATAGGAGAATTTTCTAATTCTAATCTAGCATTATCACCCAATTCAACATTTGAAACGAGAAAACCTACAGACGTTGCTAGTTTTTTTGAAATTGTATTCAAGAATTCACGTAAATCTTTGACAAGAATTTTACTTTTTAGATTTAACCTAATAAATAAATGAATAAACAAATAAATAAATACATGTTGTATCAATCTGAATGTCTACACGGGCGACTACACAAGTAATTAGCAGTTGGAATTTATGTCATCAACCTGGGATCCCCACAGTGTCTAGACCACCACCTGTCTGTGTCTCACTCAACCGCAGCATGACTTACACACCCGATTGTCAAAAGGTCATTATGAATATTTACGAGCAAATATCACTATGGTCATTGTGAATATTTACAAGCAAATATCACTATCAACACGTATTTAGCAAGAAATTCTTACCATTACTCTGAATCAAAAAAATTAAAAGTTTATATTGACCATGAAGGTCAATGTTTCCATTAAGATAAACAAGTGTTTTATTAATGAAGGAAATGATTCCGTTTTTTTCAAGAAATTGATGAATGAAATATTCAAGTAATTCACCTTTTCTTTCATTGATAATTCTATCGTTCGTTGAGTTTAAAAACTCAATAAAAGAAGTAACAATCTCATACTTGGATTCGATGGGAAGATGTTTTTCAATAAAACCTTTGAGGGATAATTTAAGGCCATGAAGAATTAATTCAAATGAGAACATTTTTAAGAAAAAAATGGTCAATAACCTAAGCTGTTTATATAAAATCTTTATAACCATTTCTTCGTCCATTTTTTTTTTCTTTTTAAAGAAAGAAAACTCGTTTACTTCAATCTACTTGTAAACAAACAAATTGATGAATAAGGAAATGCGCGTTTATCTAAATCAGAAAGAAATCACGGAATTGGGTTGTGAACACGGAAAGTTGGGGAGCTCGGTGTATTATATAAATCAAAACTATATGTGGTGTCATAGAAAAGTCTATTATGACAGATTTTTAA